GAAAGGTGTTGGTCTCAAAACACCACCTCTCTATATTAGCTGCGACCAAAGGATGATCAATTCGGCCTGGCCGAATGATAGCCAACGGGCCCAACCCAAAAGCATGAACTAACTGAACTTGTTCTCTTGTTAATTTCCATTCATTTAATTGATAACTCTTCTCATCAATTCTAATTTCTTCTTTCTCCTGAAATATAACAAATAGACAACATATTAGAATCAATATATAGACATGTACTTTCCAAAGGATGTTTGAACTAGACTACCATTTATTGAAAATTAACAAATAAATAGAATGGGCAGATGAATATATCCTTCCCATATGCAATGTTCTGGATGAAGTTGCTACAAACTAGGGTCCTGAGGATCTCCTGGATATCCTCCATTGGGATGTAAACGATCCATATTCACTGAAATCCCATATGGTCACCATGATAATCATAAGGCTACGCATATCAAAATTAGCTGGATAACAAAAAAATAATAATGACATACTATTGATGAAGAAGAACATTGCTAAAATCCATTGATGAAAGAAGAAAAATGCTAAAATGAAATTGCTATGCTCGTCCAACTAAAGATCATATACTTGAAAATCAAAATCAATCAGTGAATATGGAGGCCAAATAGAGAAATGATTCTTTGAGTCAAACAGACAACTAAAAAGAATTCATAGAGTTATTCAAAAACCAACAACTTCCATAATTAGCTACAGCGAAAAAACAGTCTCATATCCAGCTTTTAAATCCAATTAATATATCCACTTGAAGAACTACTATACATACCCCTTAATTAACCAGATATGCACAATCCTCATCCACTTCTTTTATCAGTAACAATTTCAAAACCACGTGAAATACTACACTAAGTCCAATTCAATGGACCTCAGCTAAACAATAACCAAACCCTAGATGGATAAACAAAAAAAAATACAGTAGTCCCCTTCTGAGTAACCATCCTCAACCAAAAACTAAAGAATTCAACTTTAATGAGTAACAAAATTATTTCAATGGCATTCGACATTGATAAGCAACAAATCAATTCATTGTAAAGACAAGAATCCAACTTTCATAAGCAGCTAAATCATCCCATAAAAAACAAAGAATTCATGTTAACTCAGTAACCAATCTATTGAAAAACCACGCAATTCAATTAAAAACTGAAGAAATCGATTTATAGATAGACGAACGGTTCCATCAAAAAAGAAAAAAATTCAATTTTATGTTAAGCAACAATTTCAAACAAATAACAGAGAACAATGCTACTTATAATACAAGCAACAGATTAAATCCAAAATATTCAAATAAATGTAGTCGTGGTTACTTGAATCATAAATCATAATTCAAATAAATTCACTCATTAAATACATTGCAAAATATTCAAAGTAAATATGTACTTGAATCATAAATCACATACAGATTTTATTTTTTAAGCTACTCAATCTATCGACAACAAAAATCAACAATTTACTAAAATATCAATAAATGTAACACAAATCTATGCTTAAGACTATCTAACAGTATAAACCCCTAAATTTAAGTAATTTATAGTTATACAGAGACCACAAAATTCCAAGTTCTCTAAACCCCCAAATTATAAATATCTAATTCAATCACAATGGAGCCACAAATTAATTCAATCTATACCAAAATCACAACAAATAATTAGTATGCTTGAGTATAAACCCTAACCAAAATTTTGGTGGCAATCTAAATAAAAAATCGACCCACATACCTTCACAATGTGAAATTGCTTCAAAATCCAAAAAATGCCACCTGCCAAAGACGATCACCGTTGAAAATCAAAATAAAAAACTAACTTCTATTCTTTACTAATAAGGCAGACAATATCAATCACACTCTCAAAGAATAAGAAAAACACAGATGCACTATGAAAGAATGAAAAAAACGCAGAAAATAGGGCAAACAAACCGAAAATCCTAAATTTTCGAATGTTGAAGATCCGAAAATCGAAAAGTGAACTTTTTTTTAAATCTTGTTTTCCGATGTTGAACATCCGAAAAAAGGGCAAAAGTGTCTTTTTTTAAAAAGGCATTATGAAAGATAAAAAAGCAGCCAGATAAGTAATAACGGAAACT